CACCCCAAAATATATATGTTTTATTAAGTAAATAAAAGAAAAATTAGTATAAAGATAATATGAGCAAAAACATAGCTTCTATGCGAATAGATATGAAAACTCAAAAGCACGTAATTTCTAAAGTATGAATGCATGAATAAAAATAAAAGAAGGAAATATGTTCAAAGTTTTATTGAGTTCGACTAAGCTTAAATTTGGATGCATGTGAACAATTGTATGCGGTTATTGCGTGTGTCGGCCACGTATAAATTACCCTGAGCGTCAGTGCTAACGGCAGTGGGATTATTAAGTTGGTTAGGAGTAGCACCACGGACTCCAGTTCCTGCAATGACTCTACCATTCTTGCTACCATCCGTTGGTGGACCAGGCGGAAATAGCATTATCCGATGATTGCCCGAATCGGCTACAATTATATTTCCGTTGAGACTGGATGTTACATCTGAAGGAACAGTTAGAAAGTTGAGCTGAGTATTAGGAAAAGCAGCAGCAGCCACTCCAGCTGGACTACCAGCAACAACTGTGAATGTATTGGTTGCTAAAAACCATTGAAGGATATTGTTAGCACCACGATTAGCGATCACAAGACTATTTGATGCCGCATCGAAATAGATACCGCTTGGTCTGACCAACGGATTAGGAGCTATATTAGGACCAGCAACCACAACACCAGACACTGGATTTGGGAGTGTGTATTGGATCACTCGATTATTGTTAACATCAGTGACGAAAAGTCTGTTCCCAACACGATCATATGTAATACCACTCGGATTGGTTAATGCTGAAAACATGCACATATTTCAATGAACAATAATAATATTTGATGAAGCTTTTCGAATGATTTATTTCACAAAACATGATTTTATTTTATCAGAAACTAGCGGAATATTCAGCACTTTTTACAGCACTAGGTAAAACTCGAGCGGAACTCAATCGCATACTTGGCTGCTATGAGTAAGTGTAGAAGCTTATTGGGCAATTATTTCTTTACAATATTTTGCTTATGTAACGAACTAAAATTCTAGTAATTCATCACTGTTAACATATCTTTGCTTGTTTTCAAAATATCCTTTCAGTCAAACAAGGATTGCGGACGATCGGATATTCTTGCTCGAGGAATATTTTTTTGCTAATGTCTCAAAGCAATTTAAACAAACATTATTTTCAAAACATTGAAATTTTGCACAAGGAAAGTGGTAATCAAAGATTTTATAGATACATATTCAGACATATTTGATTTTGAAAATTAGAACACCAAATATTTGTCATTTAATTCAATAAAAACTTATTCAAGCAATTTATCATCTCAAGTTATCGCACATAACAATAAGTTCTTTTGTGCACATAAAAATCTTCAGTTTCGAAACAAAAGTGAATTCCTGTTTTAGAACTAGGAACACAATTTTTGACAACTTTGACTAGTAAAACTACTATTCGTATATGAACGATATGAAAAAAATTTATTCTTATCGAAATAACTGGGAAAATAATTTCCTCTCATTTATACTCTGGTGTCAGATATGACGAAGTTTTTAATGATATTTTCGAAACTGCTACATTCCGAAGATTGATAATCTACAGTATGTAGTAGTTTTCATATTTTATGCTCGTAGACCTAAGAATTCATTCATTATTGAATAATTCTCTATCAGATATGGCAACTGTTTGAAATGTAAAGAAACAATTTGAATCGAAAATTCGACTATCGAATTGAAGAATATTGGGACTCGCGTATTATAATTGAAAGCCCAAAAATAATCTCGATCGTATCTTTTCATACCGAACATGACTACACTCTGAGCTAATGATTTGGAAAACCATGAAAACAACTTGAGAGATGAAACATCTTTTTACTATAAATAATAAAAAAATACAACAAAACTGAATGACAATAGCACTTACTATGTGTGTATATACGTATATGTTAGTAAATCAATGCGTATATATGTAACAGCCGCAGACCTCTGCAGAACATAGTATTTACATAGTTGTGCACGAGCAGCTAAAACTTTTCAACTATATCTCTTGTGGTTGAGGGTGAGAATGAAGTAAAGACTTTTATTCTCAAAGTAGAATAGAATCTGAGGAATATCTAGTAAAACGTTTGTTGCAGAATATTGTACTTGTGAAAAGCTATGCTATTCAGATTGATGAAACAAGATTTCTGGAAAAGTGAGACTACCAGTAAAATGGTTGTCAATGTGTTAGAACTCGATGAAATCGACTTGTATTCTGTATACTTAAAGCTCTATCGATCAGCTATACGTCATTGAGTAAAATTGTCGAAAGTTTTGTAACTTCTACAAAAGATCAAAGTCATAGATGTGAATGACAGCGAGTTTTAGATATGATGAAATATTAAAATTGTTTAGACTACAGTGTGTGTTACAAATAAGAGTGCACTAAGAAAGGCATTCTTGCAAAGGTTCAACCAATAGAACCTCAAGAAGCTTGAACTCCAGCGTAGTGGATAAATCTGAGCAACGCTCTATAAGGTTAGTATTTTCAGAAAAAGGTCTATTGTTGAATACAACTCTTAGAGGATACTCTAACAATCATTTGATCTAAACGGGAGAGTCAAATTTAAGATGGAAAATACGTTATTCTATGTTTTCGTAAATGTTATTCAAGAAAACGAAATTCTCATAAGGTAGTGATGGCTCAGTCCTATCTGTCCATAGATAGAAGTATTTTAAGGCTACTTCTCGTATCATTGGCGCCTACTAATCAACAATGTATGAGCTTGAAGTTAAGAAAATACTTCGACTACTTTGATCATTACATGAAATCATAGGTAAGAGACTTGTAACATAATAGATGCATTATTCTTTCTCAAAGTCAACATCTGATCTCGATTCTTCTTTTCAATTTAGTTGAAATTTTTTTTTCGACTATATTTATTAGCCAGTTTGATTTCAAGAGACTTCTGATAAAAATCATACTATATATTCTTTAACAGGAAGACAAAGCGACACAAATGTTTCTTGATCAAAGATTGGAAGCTTATCATTTGATCGAAATGATATAGAAGATCATCGCTTGTTTTAATAAATATCAAAGGGATTCAAAACTACTGAAATATAACTTGAATGCACACTATCCATGTCTAAAGTATTTTAAAGAAAGCTGCTATCAATCGAAATGACTCTCCAGATCCTTTGATTTTTCTTTTTTTCCTGATAAATCCATGAGTTTTATGCTATGCACAATTAATCACAAAAAATACCGTGATCTTTTCAACTGAAGTCGTCGAGGTCATCATTTGAACGTCAAGCTATCTTACCTGGTTGACCGGCACCAGGAGGATTAGGCAATGTCCCGACTGGACCGCCTCCGGCTGGCCAAAATTGGACTCGATTATTACCGGCATCTGCTACATAGATATCACCATTTGGGAGCACAACAACACCTTCAGGAAAGTTGAGCTGATTTGCACCTGCTCCTGCACCTCCACCTGCTTGACCAGCCACTGTCACACCCTGAGCAGCACCTACCACCCATCTCTGGATTCTATTATTTCTAGAATCACTGATAACGAGTGTGTTGAATGGATCCACAAATACAGCCTCAGGACCAGTGAGCTCCTGGGGTCTAACACCTGGCGTACCAATACCTGCTACAGTCGTGCCTATTGAATTCCATTGAAGCGAACACACAGGGACTAAAAAATATATAGAATTTTGATATGGAGGCATAGCTACAGAATCAGATGGTATATGAGCGTCGTACAGTGTGTGAAATGTGATTTTTATGTGTGCTGAATTTTCTACTGCTGTTCATTAAGCTGAAATGATCTTTCAAGCAAATGTAAGTTCTTTCCTAGGCTACAGCTGGCATTTAGTGGCATAGAAGCTTTTATTCGCATTGGAATAGGAATAAGACATGTTTCCTTTCAATCTCGAGATCATCATAACATAATATATGTACATCGACACGAAGTTCAAGAGCGTTAAACTTGACAGCAGATGGACGAAGCGATCTCAAGTTTTTGGGAAAAATCGCTTTTTATCACACTAGTCTCTTCTATGACCATTCACCAGTTTGTCAATTTTCATTATCTCCAGAAAAACAAAAGTTGTAAACATTAACATTACTATTCGTGGAACTGATTGAAGATTGAGGAAAATCTATATGAATAATATTAAAAGATTTATACAATCTCGTGACATGGATCTTTTTGATATATTTTGCATGAGATGATCGAACACATCAATTTAGTGCTTCGTACTTCATAAAGATGCGAAAAAAATACTCATAAATAGGATGATAAGCATTGTATTAAAGAGAAAACTCTCGACTGACTACTTGAAAAAAGTTTTGCATGGCACTCAAACGATTGTTGTATCATTACTATAGTGATTAGGATGTTAATGTGACTCATCATGGCATTAACTTAGTCATTATAAGATCAAAAAATAAGAAGAATGACTCATGTCAATATATTGGCGAATTCTATTCGATCTGATCATTTATAATGGTACTGGTTGCAACCCCCTTGATCAACAGATCAGGAACTTTTGCAACATTTGATTGATACAATTTTCTCGATCAATTTCACTCGAAACTTTGCACAATACAATTAGTGAAACATTCTCATCAAAAAGATTGCTCAATTTACGAATAATAAGTTTAATTCACTGAGCATTTTTATTTCTATTTGGCTCCAGTGCAGAAAGAGATGCGTATGAAAACAGCTCATAAGATCTCATAAGTAACATTTTAATCATACATGATTTACTACCAAGACATTTCTTCAGTACTCGACAAAAGCATCTCCCCTTGGATCTCAGTCACAATATGAGCTGTAGACCTGAAAACTAGTGTACACATAGTTCTCAACGAATGCTGATCAGCGACACCATCCCTATTTCCGATTCCGTGAAGTATAAGAAAGTTATAATGTATGCGGTCTGTCTCTATTGTGAGCGTCATAACTCAAGAACGGAAAAACTTTATGGATTGAAGTTGGTTTTATTTTGTAGCTCTACACTTTGACTATTTATGGTAAAATTTTCATTCAAATTCAATGAGCCATTGCAGAACTAGAACCATTTTACTGTTCCCTAGACTGAAAGGCTAGGGTCTAGAAACCGAAATTCACCTGTGTCTGTCTGTCTGTCGGTAACGCGGTCAAAATGGCCATTTTTTTGGCACATGTGACCATTTTTGTGGCACAAACGGCCATTTTTTACTAAAATTAACTAGGTAACTATGGTACAAATGAGCATGTAACTATGGCACAAACGGTCATTTTTTTGGTACAAACGACCACGTAACTATGGCACAGGTGACCATATAGCAACCATGGTACAAACAACTATTCCGGTAACTATGACACAAATGACCATCTAAAGACTGATGTAAATGAACCCATACTAATCATCGGTAAAATGTCAATGAAATAACTATAATTCGGGTAGTGGTGTAAAACGGCTTACAAAAGGATTTAATTAGTGAGAGTCAGACCAAATGAGCAGTATGGATTTAAAGAAATCGTTTAAATTATTCATTATTGTAGGATTGATCGTGCAATGTTGTATCAATGAATACCTAATTTATTAATAGTTTAGAATTAATGCGTGAATTGAAGCATAAAATATTGATTAATAAAACTCAAATTTTATGACTAATATAATTCATATTTTTGTACGTACAAATAGCGCCAATATAATTACAAAAAAAATCGTATTCTTATCGAATCTTATTGGGCGCCATTTATATTAATAAAAGCAAAAAAAAATTAAATTTGTAAAATGCATTATCTTTACTTAGAGTGAGAATTCTCCAAATTAAGTTTTCTGCTCGCCTAAGATATACTGGTCATATTATCAATTTTGCGTATTACTTTTTTAATGTAGCTTTTTATGCTATTACATTCGTACATGTATTCTATCAGTCTAGGGCTAAGTGAATCGCTTGACGATGAACGTTACTTGTAAGTATTGATATATGACAAAAACGACCTATCCCATTGTGTACTTCATAAATCAGTGAAAGTTTGATAGATCGACTTCAAACTTGTAGGAAAGGTGATCCCACAGGTCTTTATTGTTCTTTGAAATTTTCAGACTTATATTACATACTAGAGAGAAATGGCACTATGCTGAAGTT